AGAACAACAGAAAGGTTCAATAAAGGTTTTCCAAGACACAACTTGTCCATACTGAGGCTTCAGAGACCAGCAAGCAACGCCTCACAGCTTCCTACCTGAAGAACATCACAAGAAGAAACCACCCAGGGCTGAACAATAATAGAGGATCTAAATGATCTAAGATCTGACCACAGCAATCTTCCAAAACAAGAAGAAGAACCAAGGAGCTGCACCAGCCACTGGGACGTTGGCACAGTGGTACTTGTGCCTTTGGGACAGAAACTGAAGGTTTCAGGGTTCAAACCCTGGAGCAGCCAACTTCCAAGTAACCTTGGTGTGTGATGAGTGAAAGACCAAAAATAAATTATGCCAGCTCTAAAGTCATCCAGATGAGGAAGTGCCAGATGTTGGGGAACCAGGACATTCTAATCAGAATTTGGCTCCAAGAAGAAGACGAGGGCAGATGAGGGCAGAGAACCAATGATTTTAATATGTATATAAATACACATGAACAAAAACTTTATTTCGGCTGCTCCCTTCCTCAGGGATTGCCATAGCGAGCAAATTCACATAAAAGATATGGAAATTGTTTTACGCCGAATGCACTTCCTGACGCAACCTGGGCTCGAACCTGCAACCTCAGGATAACAAGATCACGGCACTGACCACCAAGCTACTGCAGCCTTCCAATAGTAAACTCATGCACCAGTACAAGAGTGGAAAAAGTCCTATTTTAGCCCAAAGAGCCCCTGGTTTACTGGTTCACACAACCCGATGGTTTGTCTTTTAAACCTTTCTTTTGCCTTGTGGTTTGCAGGAGCCGAGTTCTGCCTGTGGGTCCAACAGATCTGGCACACGAGCGCTGATGAATCTCACAAGTTTAATGTGTTTAAGCTCGCTAAGCCTCAAAAGCTTATTCACGTTCAACAGAGTGCTACAAAGTTGGCTAATTTCCCCGTGGTCGTCTCTCAGCTTGAAGGCCCCTCTCTGGGTCTGCTGGCAACGCAGACTCCCAGAAATACAACGCACTGCGCATCCTGTGAAAGACGGAGGACACGCCGCGTCTCACCGATTTGTGTTATCGGGCAGAGAACGGTACCGACATAAATACAGTACGCTCAGATATTACCGTTTTTCCACACCTTAAATTCAACCCGTGACTGTCGTTTTTCTGCGTTCAGCATTGATCCCTTTTTCCAGCCTCTCTTCGGTGAGTGCCTTAGTCTTATCGTGGGTGCCCCCACCTCGTCTGCCTCACGTTTAAAACCACCGAGGACGAGCGCCCGTATGACAGCTAACAGCCGGTGTTAATTAAAATGTCATGCCTCCAAATCAATAGTGTAAAACAGTTCAAACGCAACGCATCGCCTCCGCTGCGATAAGTACTTCTGGGTGTCATGTAAGTCCAGAGAAAGAGATGCAACAGAATGGTATGACAGAATTATCCAGGGAGAACATGTAACATTTAAATTTATGACCTCGCGAGTTACTTCTTTGCTCACAATTGAAAATTATCCACAGTGTCAGGAAGTGTGCAGCGCTGAACTGACAGAGTCATAAGTCAGCGGCGACAGGACGGGAGGCTTCCTGCAGGAGCCGTGCGCCCGCGGTGCATTAAACTGACTAACTCATTTAGGAAGACGGCTGCCGGGAGAGGACGTGTATAAAACAGCTGCCGTCAGTCTGTTTATGTTCATGTCAACTACCGCATTTAGACACGCACAAAGAAAGCAGGTTATTTACCGAACTACTTTCCGTAAACCTGCGAAAACACAAATCTCGGGCCGCCGCCGCAAAGACGTTTCACTGAGAACCCCCTTGAACCGCGCTCGTTTTCTGCAGCGTTCCAAATATTATGACAGGCGCAGCATTAAATCAAAACTTTGTGAGTCGTTGGCACAAACCCATCGAGAGACGCCGTTCAGGAGCAGCGCCGGGCGTATGGGTGGAATGAAACAAATTCTGTCAGAGTAAATATGGTTTAATAAATGAATTAGCTTCATAAATAATGGCTGTAATGACATTTTAGGGGACAATAAGCCACAGCGTTGTCAGGAAATAGTTGATGTATGAGTTTCATGCCTCAGTGGTTCCTCAAAATGAATAGGCTCGGGAAGATAGCAGGGGCTTCCAACCAGCCTATTTTCTCGAATTATCTACTTGTTGTCAATTTGCACAGTGGAATTACACATGCAAATTGAACTGCCTGCACAAACACCACTTGGAGATGATAAAAACAAATTAACAAAGGCTATAGAAGGAGGATTTATTTCACTGGCTAACCTAGGTCAAGCAATACATGTATTTTACGATTGTGTGTACCCAATTTTGTTGTAATTATATCAGCAAATTATTCTTTGTAATCTTATTATTTCCCCCTAACCTTCTTCTTACACACATAATTAACTTCCCTCGTAGCCGCACAAAACCAGGCTTGCCTCCGTGCCGGCACTTTAATCTGATTTGAGGTTAGTTTTTGCCACCTCTCGGGTTGCAAAAACTCCTAGGAAGGTGAGAAGCGAGCAGTTTAGTGGCTCCACGACTGCTTAGCAGGAAGAGCAGACAAATCTTGAGCAGCGAAGCCGCGGTGTTAAAACGTATATAATCACCTCTTCACATCATCCGTCGTACCGCAAAGGAAATTAAGAGTCCCCGGACCTCCACGTTTGCCATTAGATATCTCATTTACTTTGTACACACAGCGCTAATCTCCACTAATGAATTCTGCCACACCAAACCAGATCGAGATGAGTAAAAATTATTACCACTTCCACAGATATGCCTTTCCTCATTTGAGGCTCAATTTGGCTGCCTCGCAAAAACAGTCTGTCACAGTAAGATACTAATAATTAGGGTTTTAAGATGATTAGTTTATCTCTGTGCTCTTACAGTCCTGCCTCTTATCCACCGTGGCCAAAACTTAATAAGAGGCTCTAAGTTTTAAAAAGCCAACTCCAAATTACCAAGAAATGACAGAAATAATGAAGTGGAGCACATGCCAGGACGAGAGAGGGAGAGACCGAGGCGTGGATGGTGCGAACGCCGAGAAACATTCGTTCAAATGTTGGAGCACAAAGACGTGAAATCAATAAGACTATTTAAACCTGGACACGCAGGATTGGCTTGTTTTAAACTAGTAACTCTCATTTACAGCGATGGACTCGTCAGAATAATGTGATTAAAGCCGCGGTGATGCTGAGTGAGTGGCATGAGTTAATGTTGTTTATATTTCAGAGGGCGGGATGTTTTACATGTTTGAGATTAAAGTCGATGATCGAAAAAACTTGAATAAACAGCTTTAAAAAGAAATGTGTCCATGAAAAGAAGAGCCATGTTGGGTGCTGGTTAGGTTGTTTTCACACCATTCGTCGCTTTTATACCAAAACATTAGTGGGTACGAAACGTACGTAGAGCAGCCCGAGATGGGCCTTTTCAAACCCAAGATGGGTCGTTTTGAACCTGAGTTTTATTTTTTTTGTATCTGTTATGAGTCTCTTTGTACCATCATGGGTCATTTTGTACCCAAGTCTTTTTGTATCTGTTATGAGTCTCTTTGTACCATCATGGGTCATTTTGTACCCAAGTCTTTTTGTATCTGTTATGAGTCTCTTTGTACCCACTGTGGGTCTTTTTGTATCCAAGTCTCTTTGTACCCATGATGAGTGTTTTTGTACCCGAGTCTCTTTGTATCTGTTATGACTCTCTTTGTACCCATGATGAGTCTTTTTGTATCTGGTGATCTTTGTA